AGCAGGAAGGCGTGGAATAAGAAGGACATCGAGTGGGGAGGTTTTGATGCTAGTCAGTCCGACAGTCTCACGCATATCAACTGGCTCATCCGACGTCGTCGCAATCTCAAAACCATGAAGCAAAGTGGCTAATGTGAGCTGCAAAACTTGAAGCGCAAACGACACTCCAGGACACATTCTCCTTCCACTACCAAACGGTATCAACTCAAAGTTCTGTCCTCTAACGTCGACGTTTTGGTGAGTCGTGAGAAACCTTTCCGGCCTAAACTCGCTCGGCTCGTGCCACACTGTTGGATCCAAATGAAGCTTCGAGAGATTAAGAATGAGACGCGTCCGCGCCGGAACATGGTAACCGGCTACGGTGCAGTCTTCTGTGGACTCGTGGGGCACTGAAAGTGGGGCAGCTGGGAATAAACGCAATGTCTCTTTGAGAATAGCTTGGAGATAATCCAGGTTTTTCAGGTCCGATTCCTTCACTTGCCTCTCTTTGCCAACGTGTTGGTCCAATTCCTGTTGGGCTTTTTTTAGGGCTTCTCGGTTGTTGAGGAGTAATGCGATTGCCCATATCATTGTTGCTGTTGTTGTATCCGTGCCAGCCAAAATAAGAGCCTAGGAAAGTCAAAAGTGCCATGCCGTACCCCACAAGCATTAAGAAAAAATGAAGAGATATGTGAAAAATGAGAACTGCATATGATAGAAAATAAGAAAAGTGAAAGAAAAAGATGAGAGCTGCCCACAGTGTTTTGCTATAACTATGACTAGGATAGTTTGAAGAAAATTTTGGAAGATACGTAACAAGAGAGACGAGAAATAAGAATTGAGTTTGTAGCACGTGGGCGGCCACAACTATTGTGATAGCACATTAGGAATGAACTAACTATACTAACAAAACGGCTTTTAAAAACATAGCATTGTTAAAAGACAAAAAAGTTTGGATACCTTAACCTTAAAAAAAAAATCCAAGCCTTTTCGAGTCATGAAAAAAAAGCTATACACGAAAAGCTTTTGCGGAAAATGAAAAAAGAAGCCTAAGATTGGTATATTTGTATAAGGATTTGCGGGTTCTATGTGTGACTAAGAGGATTTCCAACCATACTAGCCATTTCATATTTTTAGGCAAAATAGCTAATGATTAAACCTTTTTTTTTTTTTTTTTTTTTTTAACTTTTCTCTACTCCAACCATTAGCTAAATAGTTAGTTATTTTAAATAATGCATTGCATACTAACCAAATATAATTAGTAGAAGAGGCTAGCTGTTTCATTTTTCTATTATTCTATTCTTCTAAATAGTAATAAATGCATGAGTTATTTTTGAAATTCAATAAAGTTATTTATATTTTAAATTCAATAAGTATTTATATATTCTATGTTTAGTTAAAATAAGAAGTATGGTTGGACTCACTCACCAAAAAGTTGCTAGTTAAAATAGTTTCTAGCTAATTTAACTAAAATGTAGCTAAAATTTAGAGAGTAATTTTCTTGGAGATGCTCTTATATTATAAATTAATAAATAATGCTTTCCTTAGATTCGCCACAACTAAAACTAGTGGAACAAAATCATAATTTGCAAATCTCTTTCATCCTCATAAGAAACTCTCATAAACCTAAATTCATGATTCCAAATAGACACTCACAAAGGTTTGGTAAAGGATAACACGATTAGCACACACATACCAGGGAAATAGCTTTGGTGATTGTGTCAACATCATAACTTGCAATTCCAGACTGATCCGCACCATCAAGTATAGAAAGCATCACATCCATGAAGTCTTGGTCATCCTTGGTCACTTCCCCAGAAACCCTCTTCAACTTGTGCTCCTCAAGCCATCTTTGAGCCAATTGATCAAGCTCTTTTGAAGCCTTCTTCATGGCTTTCTCGCAGCCCCCCAAATCCAACCACCTTAAGTAAGGAAGCGCATCGGACACCACAAAAGTCGCCGCCAAGTCAAAGAAATCCCTCAATGTCTTTCGACACCGATCATCACTCCCTAATTCACTCAAGCTTGTTGCCTCAAGATATCGCTTCCCTACAATCATCCTGAACGTCACGTTCAGTGTTATGTCTCCAAACCATTTCTTCATCTCTAGCTCCACTCCATTATTATTACCATTATTAATGTTGTTAACCCAAAGCTCGCATATGCCTTTTATCGCCGTCTTAACCTCCGATTCTCGGACATGGCTGAGTATCTCTAGACGGTTGTTGGAGAGCAACTCAAGCGTGGCAATCTTACGCACTTGACGCCAGTAAGAGCCATAAGGGCTGAACCCAAACATGGCATAGTTGTAGGCTAGTATCTCTGAGGCTATGCCTTTTGAACGGTTGGCGAAGACTTTGTCGTTTGTGGTCAGGAACTCTTTAGCCATCTCCCAGCTGCTTACCACCAAAGCTCTGTGAACTCCCACCTTTATGGAAAAGATTGGGCCGTATTTGTCAGCCATGTGGCCCAAGGTTCGGTGGGGGGCTTGTGAGCCTGCTAATAGATGAAGGTGGCCGACAATGGGCCAGGCACCGCCAGCTTCCGGTGGTGTTCTCCGGGAATCTTTTTGTCTCCATTTTATAAGAAAATAGACAAACAATGAAGCAGCCAAGACAGTGGATATAGCTTGAATTATTGAGGGAATGTATTGCAGATCCATGGTATTGATTATGTCGGTTAAAGAAAATTGTTGGCTCTCCTGGATGTTAATTAATATGTTTCATGCAAATATGGATTATATAATGATGTTAACTGAACGACGTGGTTTCACGTTGATGCAAGCAATGATGCAAATACTCTATTATATTTTATTCCTTTGTGCCTAGATACACTTCTATATGTCCCTTTCCATTCACAGTAATACCAAATTGTGTCTTGTCAACATAACATTTTAAATTCAATTATGGATAGATTTCTTATGGGGCAGTTTTCTCCATTTCTCCACCCAAAATTCAAAATGGTTCTAAATATATTGAGGAGCCGTAATACACCAGATCGGAAATGCGGCTACCAAATTACAGGTTCCGTGTGGAAAATTATGCAATGATATATCATATTAATTATTCCTGGTCAGGACTTTGAAGCATATATCTTTATTATTAGGAAAGCGAAAGTCTCTCTTTCACATTGACGTCATACAATATTATATCAGCTGATCTAAATGGTTTCTCATTATTAGGAAAGCGAAAGTCTCTCTTTTATATTTTATGCTAGGAATACATTTGGGAAAATATACTAAATTAGGCAAGGAATTAAAAAGGCATAAATAAATAGAAATGCATGTTACAATCAAAGTGTGTGTTTTGGACCTTTGGTTAGATATTATCTGTGTACACAAACAGAGCATACATGCGGAAAAGAAATGAGATAAAAATTTAATTATGAGGTACATATAAGAAAACAATATAAGAAGCCTTGTAAAGTTTTAAGCAGAGCATAATTTATAAAAAGAATATGCAAGATTTTGGGAGAAGGAAAAAAGAAAAACAGTTGGAAGTTCTCCCGGCGCCGAATATATCAATTGGAAGTTCTGGCCTTTGACTTCTACGTCTTTGTGAGGTGTGAGAAATCTTTCCGGACTGAACCCGCATGGATCTAACCACACATTCGGGTCTCGATGAAGCTTTGAAGCATTAACCAAGAGACGTGTGCTTGCTGAGATGTGGTAGCCGCCGACGGTACAATTTTCCAATGATACATGTGGCCCTAATAAGAGCAGTCCAGCGGGGTATAATCGTAATGTTTCTTTCATAACATCACGGAGGTAAACAAGGTTCTTTACGTCCGATTCCCTTACTTGCCTTTCTCTGCCAACGTTATCGTCCAGTTCTTGTTGGACCCTTCTTAGAGCTTCTCGATTGTTTAGAAGTAAAGCCAGAGCCCATGTCATTGTCACTGATGTTGTATCAGAGCCGCCTAAAATGAAAGCCTGCAACAATGCCACGTGCGCACAGTCCAGAGCCTAATGTTTGATGAAAGTATCATGATTTGAGAAAAAGTAGATAGTATATATATGTATTAGATAAGATAATCATATCACAGTCACATTTAATATGGGCGACATATTGTCCTAGCATTTTTTTTAAACCATTGCTAAACAACATTTATAATGTAACAGGAATTCTAAACGGATTAAGGTCTTGATGAATTCGAATAATGTACAACTGCAGTTCAAGTAATTAGAAAAGAAAAATAGTATTTTATAGTTATCTTTTATATATATATATATATATATACGGATAAGCTTTCAATAGTTACGATCAATGAATACTATTAATTATATAAACTTAATGACGTGGTGTGATAAAAATTTAATATCATTAATTGTTATAAAGTTTTTTTTTTGTCAATTATTTAATTTATTACAACCGTTAGATTAATATCTTACAACTAAAATAATGATATCTATGGATAAGTAAATATTAAGAGTAATAATTCTTAATTTCTTCAAAGACAAAGGAAATTTTTTTATTAATTACGTACATAAAGTACCACTCTAGAACAAAAAAACACGTGAAACTAACATGTTAAGTTTAGGAAAACTTAATTTAGGTTCAAACTAGGAAAAAATAAGGTGATTGAGGAGCTAATAGATGTAAAGAGTAAAAGCAAACTCAAGGCTCACATCGTTTAAACACAAGAATAAACACCAATTTAGAAGGAAGATGGGCCACTCCACTTAATATAAGTTGATATTTTGAGATGGAAGCCCAGCTCCTTATAATTACAAATTCAATCATGGTATCAGAGCTCAATTAACTCAAACGATCGGTTTGATCCATCTAATACAAGATTGCGTGATAAAAATAAAACCCGAGTTCCAATTCCTATATGAGTAATTCTATTTGCAACCCTAATATTCATGAAAAGCCCCCATCAAATTATAATTTATTTTTAATAAAATCTTAAACAACAATAAAATTACGTTTAAACCTATTAAGAACGCATCTTTATAAATACACCACAATACATCACCTATAAATAGACGTATTGCTTTCAAAATCAAAGTTTTTAGTGCTGAAATTAATGTTTGAGTATTTGAGTTGCCATATCTATGTTGAAAAAGGTCTTCAAAGCTCATTTTTTTTTTCTTTCTTTTCTTTCTTTCTTTGTTTTTGTTTTTGTTTTTGTTTTGTTTTGTTTTGGTTTTTTTTTTTTTTTTTTTTTTTTGAGGAGAGGTCCTTAATTTGTAATTTATGTTCGTGCACCATAAGTGCTTCTCTCCCTTGCATATGAAGTTCTTTTTTTTTTAGAATGAGAAAAGTTTTTTTTTTGTTCAGATTGTTAAGTTTTTTTTTATAATCAAATTAAAGCCAAAATAAAAGCGGGGTGGGTGTATTAGAAGGTTAAATCAGACATTATAGAAACATATAATATAAAAGGACATATTTTTTGAAATATGTATTAGAAAATATTAATTAACTGGGGGTATTTATAAATTTTGTGCCTATCAGAAATTCTCTCAAAATTCTTGGGCTTAATTAAGTCAGTAATATTAGAAACCAAAAAGTTAGAGAAATTTTGAGAAAAAGCCATAAAAAGATAACACTATTTTTTATTTTTATCATCAGTTTTAACTTTATTATTTATACCGTTAATATTGATCTAAAAGAAGATTTTTCATATTCTATTTGAATATTTTTTTCTAGCAAGAAAATTTTCCTATTCTATCAGAATAGATTTCATTTTTATTAGAGTTTTTTTTTATGACATAAATAATAAGATGATAAAAATAATTATTATTATTGTAATTTTTTCAAAAAGTTAAGTCTATAGTATTACTTGTCTTTAGCGCAATGAATCAAGACTTGAAGAAAATATAAGTTACATAATTGTACGGTCGTAAAATTACTTATTTCCATAACTAAGCCGTATATATAACTTTTAATGTCATGTTGGGTAGGAGAGATGGAAAATAGAAAGGAATGAAAAGTAAAATACTCAATTAAAAGAAATAAAATGGTAAAAAGAATTTTTTTTTATGTTGTTTGATAGAAGAAAAAAAAGTGAAAAGAAAATATTAAATTTAAATTATTTTATAATAATACTCTTATACAAATAATAATATAGTGAATGATTTAAAGTTACAATAATTATTTTACATCTCTTTTGTTTATTAAATTTTTTCCCTTTCTCTTTTCTTCAAAAATAGTGGGCCAATTTACAACTTCTTTCTTTCTCTATGTCATCTCTACCAAACAATCTAAAATTCTTTTTTTCTTTTTAAAATCCTTCCTTCAATTTCTTTCCTTTCCCTTTTTCACTTTCCACTCTACCAAACATAGTGTTAGCGAGAAAGGAAACAGTGGGTGCGTTTGGAATTGGTTCCAAAATGATTTTATTTTTTGTATGAAAATGAAAATGAAAACGTTTTTATTTTCATTTTGGAATCATTTCTGAAAATACGTTTAGTAGTTTTATTCTGAAATTGTTCAATTTTAAAAAAACTAAAATTGTGTTTGGTGGTTTAATTTTTAAAAACATGTAATAATATTTAAAATAATAATATATTAAATAAATATATTAATATAACATTAATATATTTGCCCACCGCCAAGCCCTGCTCCCCTTCCTCCGCCCTCCTGATCTCCCTCAACTTCGCCCTCCCCCGCCTCCTCTCCATCCGCCTCTTCCTTTCTCGCTCTTTGCCCACCGCCAAGCCCTGCTCCCGCTCTTCTTCTCCGGTCCTCTGGTCGATCGGATCGAAACCCGTCTCTGAAAAGCAAAGGACTAATTCGGGTTCTTGGGTGAAGGTCTACTCCGATGGGGATGTTTACGGGGGGAGTTTCACAAGGGGAACTGCTCGGGAAGTGGGGTTTATTACTACCACATGAGTGGGAGGTACGAAGGGGACTGGATTGATGAGAAGTATGATGGCTATGGCGTCGAGACGTGGGCGAGAGGAAGCCGGTATCGCGTGCAGTCGCAGAGAAGACTGGGGGGAGGGCGCGTAGTCGCAGACGGCGGGGCGCAGTCGCAGAAGACTGCGGGGAGGGCGCACAGTCGCAGACGGAGGGGTGCAGTCGCAGAAGACTGGGGGCAGGGCGCGCAGTTGGAGGGGCGGGGGCCGCGCAGCCGCAGACGGTCGCAGAGTGAATGGGCTAAGAGAGAAAACGAAAACGGAAGAATAAAAACGGAAATAAATCGTTTTTAGATTTTCATAAGGATAAGAACGTTTTTGTTTTTAATTTTTAGAAAATTTCACGTCAAACACGTTTTTTTTACGCGTTTTCATTTGTCATTCTCGAAAATCATAAAAAATGAAAACGAAAAGGAAAACAAAGAGGGCCAGTATTCCGTTCTTAAACTTGTTGCTTAATTAATTTTCTTCTACACAGAGTAAGCAAACAGATGGTACTCTGAACCATGTATTTATTTATAAAGTAATTAATCTAAGTAGTAGTTCACAGCATGTGCGTGCCAGGCATGTAGATTTGATAATTGTATGGGCATCATAACTGGAGATTTCTTCATCGCCATCAAGAATGGAAATCATCACGTCCATGAAATCTTCCTCATGATCATCTTTATCATGATTTCCTTCCATACCCTTGTGCTCCTCTAACAATCCTCCAAGCACTTGATCCAGATCTTTCGCAGTCTTTTTCATGGCTCTCTCATAGCCCCCAAGTCCAACCACCTCCAATAAGGAATCGCGTCGGCCAACACAAAAGTTCCTTTCAACTTAAAAAACTCTCTTATAGCCCTTTTGCACTGCTCATCGTTCTCTTCCTTTTCTATATACCTTTTTTTTACAATTATTTTTACAGAAATTAAAGAATATTGGGCCTAACTTAACCTAATAAAACCGGCTTATTAGAGGAAGATTGTTCTCACCTTATTAAGTGGATCATGTTAATATCTCCAGCCAATGTGAGATTCTAATACGCCCCCTCACGTACAGTGTGGACTATGTCAAACCGCTGCGAATAAATCGATATTGGGGGACTCAATAATACAAAACTGGGCCTGCTCTGATACAATTTTACAGAAATTAAAGGATATTAGATCTAACTCAACTTAACAAAACTGACTTATTAAGGGAATATTATTCTCACCTTATTAAGTGGATCATGCTAATATCTTCAGTCAATGTGAGATTCTAATAATTATCTTAAGCCTCATGTTTAGGGTTAAGTGCCCAAACTACTTTTTCATATCCACTTTTACAGCTTGTTCTTATCCCATTTTTCATGTACCCTTTATGGCCACCCTCACCTCCGATTTTTCGAATGTGGCTGAGCATCTGAAGACGGTGGCTCGAGAGCAATTCTAGCGTGGCTATCTTGCGAAGATGGCGCCAGTAAGACCCATAAGAGCTAAACCCAAACATGGCATAGTTGTAGGCCATGTGTTCTAGAGCCACCGCTTTTGGGCGGTTGGCGAAGAATTTGTCATTTGTGGTGAAATAATCTTTAGCCATCTTCCAGCTGCTTATGATTAGAGCTCTGTGTACTCCTATCCTTATAGTGAATTGGTCTGTATTTGTCGGCCATATCGGCCAAGGTTATGTGAGGCGGTTGTGAGCCTCCTAATAGTGGTAGGTGGCCGATAATGGGCCATGCTCCACCAGCTTCTGGTGGTTCTCTGAGCGAGGCTTTTGGTTTGCGTAAGAGATAATAGAGGAATAGCAAAGCAGCCAATATAATGGTTGCAGCAGGCGAATTAAGTATGCAATGAAGATAAAGAGGCCATGGCTAGCTGTTGTTTGTTTTGCCTGCAGTGTGCAGTCTTATCAGATCATGGCTTAGTGTTGTAAATTTTAAAAAAATTACTTAACTGTGCTGAAAGAAGAAACAATTATTATAAAAAGCAGTTGAGTGTTTACTAAATTATAATTATAGTAGTTGTGCTGATTTTAAAATCAGTGTAATAACGTTTGATAAATTATGAGATTAAATTGTTATGAATAGTTAAAAATTACGACTATATTACATTATACTATAATATAATATATATAATTACAATATAATATATATTTATTATTATATTTA